ACTAAAGAGGTGTCCACATGAGGCCAGGCTTTGAAATGAGACAACACTCTCCAAATGGGGACAAAAAAGAGTACGTTATAATACGACTCAGGTTTACTAAATATATAGACGGAGTCTTGATTAGATCTTCAAATACCCAAACAAAAGAATTACCTCACACCCTCAGAATATCTATCAGTCTTCTATCATTTTCAGGGGAAGTATATCATGTAACTTGAAAGAGGTGGTTTTAGATAACTAGAAGGAATTAATTAATTTGCATTATAATTAGTAATTTTCTGGGTTCATTAGTCAAAAAGATAGTACATGATAACAATGTAACAAAGTCTGAGAAATGGTTACAGAATTCCATGGGCAGTACAGCGAGACTGTGTTACTGGGAGAATCCAAGTTTTTTGAAACTACATCTTGAAATTTTCAAGTTTGAGGAAACACACCCTGGTAGTAATGATTTTCGATGCTTCTTGGCGACCGACTATTGGGCCAAATGGACCTCTGATTTGACAGAGTGAAATACTATGTGTGTTTTCCCAAAGGTGCCCTCAGCTTTCACTGCTATGAAAACAATATAATATTTAATTTTTTGACAGGCAATTATATATAGATACACACTTCAGTTTGCTGGAAGTGCTGCAATAATTATTTTACAAACAAATAACCATGCACAACTGTATAACCACGTATAACTTAATACCTTAAATATAACATTGTCAAATCATAACTATTTACATAAGAGGAATTAGTTGCATTTTTTAAACTTTTACACATACACATTGAATAGATGAGCTTCCTGAGGCTCACTTCAATATGAGATAGTAAACTGAGACTAATTCCAATGCCTCTTTAAAAGCTGAACCATCCTGTGTGTTTCTCCGGGTAACTGTACCGTTAGCACAGACCAGGCCAAGAAGACACAGCAAAGGCCTCGGCTGATTTCAGGCAATCATTAAGTTCTCGGCAAACCCAACTTCTCTAACCAGTAAAGCAGGGAAGAGTCCACTGTCACCACGACCCACAGAATCTCTTCACTCTCCACGTGGAAAAACCATCATCTTCGCTCATGCGACCGCAAGCAGTGCCTACGTGTTAATATTCTCCCTTAGATCTGCTTACCGCAACCTGCTGGCGGTGCTGTAGCCAGGACGAGACGAAGCAACAACAGGAAATAACTGGTATGTTTCCTAGAAGTCACTTCACAGCCCAATTTCACCAAAATTTTTATTTCCATTTACTCCATAATTACCGGAACTAGCACAAAACAAAATTGCCTGATTTGAGTTTTATTTCCTTTCTATGTTCGTGATCTCTTCTTGCTGAAAACGCTCTACTAGTTATCGGCCCAAAAAGGAAAAAGAAACAGAAACAGAAGATCACCAAGAAATCACGTGGGCGTGATGGACTATTCCAACAGGTAGGCACTCCACGAGACTCATCAAGACTGCAATTAGAGAATGAAATAAATTACTTCCTCATCTCACATCAGAAATGAAGAGGACTGAAGGTAGAAGAGTTAAAAAAAAAAAAAAAAAAACTGAGGCTCATAGAAACTTCCGTGAGGAGCTATCTATTATATTACAACTAAACAAGAACCATGTAATTTCAGTGATGGCTCAAATGAGCACAAATCCACACAAATAAAGCCACCAAGAACACAGAAAAAACAAAATCAACATAAAAATGATATTTCAGTTTATATTTTAAGATGGTTTATCTAATAACAGACTTAATTTAAGGTAAGATAAAGCATGAGAAAAATATAAATTTTAGTTTTCTCATGTACCCATTTTATGGCTAACAGTTTTAGGAACAAAGGCCAACAATACTATATTCTGGACATGGTTAGCAACACAAAGGAAAGTAAAAAAAATATATTTAAGAAACGTCAATTTTTCTAAGAAGTACATTATATCCCTTTCCATATGATATCAAGTTCAATACAGTTTTTTGAAACTGAGAAAATAGTGTTTCCAACGTCTGACTTTTAGCATATACACATAACATGATTTCTAGGAAGACATTTTTACCTTCCTTATATGGCATGGGTTTGTAAATTCTCTTTTTCCCAATCTACCATCTGCAGCCCAAGTGTTTCTTTCCAAAAGAAGAATTAAGGCAAAGTGAGACAAAGAATTTGCTGATACACGTATGTCACTCCAAGAATTTTCCTGACAGTCTCCACACACAATTTAATTACTTCCCTACTGTAAAAACACTTTCCATCTGCATTCATTCTAATCTGCTCAAATCCAAAACCAACACACTATAAAGTTAGCTAAATAAATGAATGATAGTAGCTTAGGTTCCAAGTGAGGCAGCATTTTATAAGGCAGTGGGTCTCCAGCTCACATGCATTTTACGCTGATACAGGATTTCATTTTGAGCTCAGTTCTTTACTTGAGATTTGTTTAGAATAGAATTACCTAGCCGCCCCAGGCTTCAAATCTCAATCTGAATCAATCAATCTCTCTCTCTCTCTCACACACACACACACACACACACACACCCACCCACCCCAAGGAGGAGATGGGAGGGAGGGAGGGAGGGAAGGAAGGATGGAGTGTAGGGAGGGGTATAAAGGGAGGGAGGAAGGGAGAGGGGGAGGTGGAGAGAGGGAGAGAGGGAGAGAGAGAGGGAGGGAGGAAGGGGGAGAGAGAGAGAGAGAATATATGAATGTTTGTGGTTCTCAATGAGCAAGAAAGAATGTACCGATACATGTATATGCTAAAGTAATGCTGCCCAGTGTCTGCAATAAAGGCATTTTGGTATGGGTTTCTTTTTTTTTTTTTGATAGGTTATAAAAACTGAACCTCAGTACATGCATATAATAAATACTATATTTGGCATTCTTTGATTTGTTGACTATTCAGTAAGTTATTGTATCCTTTTTGTGCAGAATGTTCTTTAGCATATCTTTATTCTCTTCTTGGCATTCCATCATTGCATTTAACTAAGTGCCGTTTTGGCACTCCCAGACCTAATATCCGTGAATAAATAGAGAATCCAAGAATAGCCACATCTTTCTGTTACGGACACAACTAGGGTGTGGAGACTAACCTTGCACCAGACATTAGGACAAGAGACCAGCCACTACCAAAATGTCTGCGCAACATGGAACCAATAAATGATTACAGGTCATCTTGAGGGTGTTTCCATCTCAGATTTTATTTTAGGATTTTTTAATTAAAAAATAGGATTTTTTTATTTGTTTTTTTGTTTCTGATATCACGAACTTTAGAGTCCTTACAAATTGATTTGTCTAATTTTACCCATTTAAATTATAGATTAGGAAACTTTTAGAAGCAGCTAATCCATGGTGACCAACTCCTGGTTTCCAGGAAGTCAAGACACTCTTCAACTGATATGTATATTAGATATCATACTAATATATTATATTAAAATAATATTTATAATATATATTATAAAATAACAAAATATATTTTAAACAGTCTTTTAAAAATAATCAGTATTTACCTTAAAAATAAAATTGTACTTTTAAGGCCATATGGGCTGGGATTTGCTAGATAAAAGAGAACGATTCCGGGTTTAAATACACTGAGCTCTGAACTCGCTGTTTCTTCTCTATTGATATCAGCTGTGAACACTGAACAAGTCTGGTAGCTTTCTGCTTGTTTAAAATTTATTCAAGCATAACACTATTTGTCCAAAAAATCCTGAGTGGCCTCAAGGATAAGAAATTTTGATGTGATATATTAATAATAAGGATAATTATATTGCAGCTGCTTGCAAATGTTATCTAATTACTTAAATGACAAGTCACAGGTAGGTCACTCATAGAGGTCGGCAAGGTGATGAGGAAGACAATGCCCACAAGGAACAGAGCGTGGGCCTTTCCTTCTCTCCACGCATCCTGGAATTACTCTGCTTTGTAGGAAAAAATTTAACGGTTCTTCCATTTCCTAATGCTCCAATAAGCTAAAACTATTTGGTCTATTTTGATATCTAATTATAAAGGACAAAGATCAAATGTCAAAAATCCTATATAATATTATATATTTTTGATGATCCAAAAGAAAAGACCACATACAATCATTTTAATGTAATATGTACAGGAATTAATTATAGGAATATCATACTAAATAAAACAAGGGCAGAGTTACTCAAACTGTAAATGAACAGTACATAATATACACTTGCTCTCCAAAAGGAAAACGTGGTGGTCACTAACATTTTACCTAGATCTGTATTGTTTGATTGTACCAAGAATATCACTAAAGCCATCATATGGTGGAGGGTGTAGGACAAAATAACATCTCAACATTACATACAATTTCTCAATGCAAGAGGTTAAGTTATATCATTTATATCATATTATTTTTTATTATTTTATTGTAATGGTATTTATAATACTTTTCACTTATCCACTTAATTGAGGCCTGAATTTTGAAATGAGAATGTGTAGGCCTAAAAAAAATCTGTTGGACATCTGGTCCAACCACAAACAACTAAATGGTGCTCAATTCCTGTATATCATGGCCTGACCACTTTAATTCATCATTTCCATAGGTTCTAAATAACTGAAAAGAGAATGCCAAGTTAATTTTGATTTTTCCAATTTGATAGCATTCTCAAAATCTAGCAACGTTTGAGTGAAAACTAACTATTGTATTTTTTTTTTGGTAAACATAGATTTGAAAGTTATTCAGTTTCTGGCAAAATTTCAGATGTGAATACATTATAAGAAGAGATTAGAAGGAAAAATGAGGGTGGACATAAAATAATGAATGCTAAAGGAACACGTTTTCAAGTATTTCTAGAGATGTTTCTACTATTAGTCTTTAAAGTTGACTTCAATCAGTGTTCTCTTTATTAATAGTAAGATTAACGGCACCCTAGCCAGTATCATAAATAATTCCCATACAGATAAATTCTTAAAGATACTCAGTGTTTCAAATCACAGTAGTATCTGGAGTATAGCATCTTATTAGTTCTCCAGAGTTGCAGTTTTTCTTAGCAGAGTCTTGGCCTTCATTTTACCGTACCTGGAATTCTGAGGTTCTGAAACATCTGATTCTGTGCACGTTTTCTTCACCTATAAGAAAAGAGCACCAGTTATTTTCATAGGAATATACAACTTCCTCACTCAGGTTCACACACTTGTTAAACTTAAAGCAAATACAGCTCTGCTCACCAAGATCTCTATAAAATACTCCCACGTTTTACAGCAGCACCATGCCTGCTTCATGTAATAGTGAAATACACTAAATAGTGTATTTCATTATTATCCCATGAACAGCTGCCAAAGGCACTTCCCTAGAATCCATTAGTATGTAAAATGTTCAGCTAAAATAGCTTGGGACCAGCTTAACTAGGAACAAAGAAACCAAAGAACCAGGTTTCCCACTTAGGAACTAGAAAGCCATACTGTTCTCAGTTCACTAAGAAATGTTTTTCCAATTGATACCTCTTCTGTCTCCCACTAAAGCGCACCATAATAAACACCAGGTTCTGGGGGCAAAGCGCAGCATTAGCTAAAACATTCATATATTAATTTTCATTCTCTCAATCCAGCAGTTGTATGTTTTATATATTTCTCACCATATCAATTAAGTTTCAGCCTTGCTCACAGACTTCTCACATATATTTGCAGTATATTTTGCCGACTATATTTCAACTTTGTGGTTTTTAACCCACAAAAGGTAAGGAATGAAAATAACTTTTACTTCTAGGACATGCTACCCATTTAGCACCATAGTGTGTGACACATTCTCTAAAAAAGGTAAAGCACAAATCCACGGCCTTTCATAATTTATCTTCAAGCATAGATACTTATATCTGGTTATTATGGTCTTAATGGTATATTATATACAAAGTAGACTCAATTTCAAAAATCCCTTAGAATATGTAGCATGAACAATATACATTTACAAGGCCACTGTCATATACTCTAGGTGTTTATACTGCCAAAATCTATCTATGCAGCCTACAGAATCCGAGGCTTTAAATTCTAGTATGTAGCGTGGAAGTGAAAAATAAGTCCACTGAATATTCACTGTGGCACATACCAGGGGTGTGAACTGCAATATGAATGGCATCATTTAATACCAAGTTTTGAATTTTAAAGATGCAGCATTGTCTTGCCAGCTCACAAAGCAATTCTTTCCTCCTCTGACTCAGAAGAATGCTTAAAAATCAAACACACAAAAAACGCCTACACTTTCAAAAATCTATGTCTTTTGCTTTCAATTCTAAGCCTAGACATTTTTATAATCTGGTAAATCAACTATTTGCTTGATTAACTGTCCCCTCTTTTGCATCCTGTGTTTACATTTATACAACATGAAAATAGAACTGATGAGCAAAGAGGTTACCATCCCTGTCCTATTATGTCCCTTCTATGCTCTGAACATGGAACTCAGCACCATGAGATGGAAGGGTGAAGAAATGTTTTCAAGAGTAATTAGTTAAAAAAGAAAAGAAAAGAAAAGAAAAGGAGAAAAAAGGGATACCTTTCTTAAAACGCAAACATAAAATTCACTACAAAACCCACAAAAGTCTTATGTCTGTTAAAAATTTGTCCAAGAAAAATAAGAACTAAAAGAGAAGGATACCAGAATAAACCCTTTTTCCCCCCTGATTCATCACCAGAAACTATAGGAACTGCCCAATGAATATGCAGAAATCACCTCAAAGTGAAGTCACTTTCCTCAAGACTATGATGATGTGACTTGGGGCCTGACTGAACAAGCTCCAGACCACACAGCAAACTAGACATATATTCCCAAGCAAGGCTCAGAACCAGACAAGCTTCCTGTGGTTTAAAAAACAAAGAATGTTTTTCTTTAATACCCATGGCTTTACAAAGCATCCTTCTCCAAAAACCTAACCAGAAAGTTCCAATTATGTTAATTTATTCTCCATGTAGTAACTGATGGCAGAGAGCACATCTATTGACTACTTTCTAGTAATCTAGTACCTACAGAGTTCCAGACTCACAGCTAACGCTTAACAAGCACATGATGAAGGACTGAAGTCGATACAGATATTCTTTTAGCTATGCATTCTTCAAAGTGATTCTTTTCAGGGGTTTCATTCAGTTCATCCATGGCCAAATGAGGAAAGAATAATATTGAGGATACCATGACTACTATAGGAGAGGTCTATACAGTGCTGTGGGTATTCAGAGGACAACCTACTGCAGTCAAAGGAAGAAGGGACGGCCACAAAGGAAGTGACTTCTGAACTGAGTCTTAAAGGATATGGGCCTCAAAGACTAACTTTGGAGAAAGGTAGGTATTTCAACATCATGGGGTTTGCCAGAGGAACTGTATTATGAAGACCTTATAAATGGTAAAGAATTTGGAATCTAATCTTTGGGCGAAGAAGATCTTTGAAGAGTTTTAAGAAACAGACTGGGTAGAGATGGTGTGGAAGGGGGACAAGGTGAGGGCTGAAGACAGGTAAGAGTCTAATGCAACAGAAGAGAAAGTAAAAGTTCCATGAAAGCAGAAATGGCAATGGTCTTGTACATCACTACATCCCAAGCCTTGAGCAGATGCCCCCTGCTATGGTCTGAATGTTTGTATCACCCCAGAATTCACGTGTTGAAATCCTAACCCCAAAGATTAGGAAGTGGAGCCTTTGGGAAGTACTTAGATCAGGAGGGTGAAGCCTTTAGGAATGGGATTAACGTTCTTACAAAAAAGACCCCCATAGCCCTTCTACCAAGTGAGGTCAGAGCGAGAAGGTGCTGGCTATGAACCAGGACGCAGCTCTCACCAGACACCACCATGCTGGCGCCTTGATCTCGGACTTCCGAGCCTCCAGAATTGTGAGAAATAAATTTCTGTTGTTTGTAAATTAGTCTGTGATATTTTGGTAGAGTAGTCCAAATGGACTAAGACACTCCCCATACACTGGTTTACTAAGTGAGTCATTCAATACATTTGTGAGAGATGGTGAAGACCTGAATTAAGACAAGGAGTCATGGGGAGAGAGCTGACGGGACCTTTATGACAGACATTTCTGAGACAGAATTGGCACAATATTGTTGTTGATTGAAGCAAAGTATAAAGTAGAATATGATCTTACCTTTTAATCTGTCCTTGAAAAGAAATTTTAGTCATACCAAAGACCAAAAAAAATGTTAACTTATGATTTCTTTAAAATACTTCAAAATCCTATCTTATTTCTGAATTGATGGAGAAAAGTTAAATGAATCATTATGAAACTTATGTGTTTATAGTGTCTTTGTCACAGAATTAGAAGCCAAATGGACAGTTTTACCTAAATGTGGACACACTTTCCCATTTGAGAGCTCAACAACACTTCATTAGGTGGTGACTGCTGAAACATACACGTTACAGAATAAAGAATATTCTTACAAAATATACAGAGTCTTCTGTCTCCAAGGACCATCAATTTAGTTTTGAATTTGTTTTGAATAAAGTTGAAACAAGCTAGCCAAGAAACGAGGCAGAATTTCATGCCCATAATTTAAATTCAAATCCTAGTTTTCATAAAACACACAAAGGGGTGGGCAAAAAATATGTCAAGAGGGAAAAGATGAATAGTTCTAAATGCATCTAATTGGCTGCACTAATGTGAATTTTAAGCCTACTTAATGTTACAAAAGTACATGCAAAATCAAACAAGACAAAAAAGAATAAAAAGTTTAACTATTTTAAGAAAATAACTATTAGTATGTAATGAACACACAAATATCAAAACACTGAATTTTTTGAATGAATGAATGAATAATAGCTAAAATTTCTGAGTGTTTATTATATGCCAGGCACAAGGCTTAGGTAGATGCTATTTTTCCCCAATTCACAGGTGATACTACTGAGAACCAGAAACATTAATCTGCAGGCAGGCTGTGTAAAAAACTTCAAATCCAGGTCTATGAGGGCATTTTAGCCAGTACATGCCAAGAACCTAAAATTCATAAAACATAAACTAAAATGTTTAAAACGAAGATCAAAACATCCTAATATTTAAAAGTTCAATTTTTTATTGCATCATAATAATAATGGCTGCCATTTATTAAGCAATTATTCACTGTGCTGGACTCTGCATATATGTAATCATTTAATCTATGAAGACAGGTATGATGGATGAAATCTTCCTTTTACAAGTGATAAAACTAAGGCTCAAAGAGGTTAAACCACTCGTCCAGTGTCCCACAGCTAGTGCTAACAGGGCTGGAGTTAGCACGGAATGCTATACATCAAGCCTTTCTTTCTCGCTTATGATTTGCCAGTTGCTTTTTTTGTGTGTGTGAAGGAGATCAGTCCTGAGCCAAAATCCTATGCTGATCCTCCTCTTTTTTGCCGAGGAAGACCGGCCCTGAGCTAACCTCCGTGCCCATCTTCCTCTACTTTATACAGGACGCCGCCACAGCATGGCCTGACAAGCAGTGTGTTGGTGAGCGCCCAGGATCCGAACTCGCAAACCTGGGCCACCACAGTGGAGCGCGTGCACTTAACTGATTGCGCCACCAGGCTGACCCCTTGCCAGTTGCTTTTATTAAGTTGTTTTAAAACTAGGAGTTGGAACTAACATTCCATGGAACAATTCATAAAGAACCCACTAGTTACTTCTTGTAATACATCAGCCGTTAAGCAAATCTTTTAAATTGGACTACTGAAGTAACCAGGTTTTACAAAGCACTAGTAACATTTAAAGTCCATATAAGCAAAGTAAAATGGAGTTTTGAAGAAATTATCCTAATACCTCTCACCTCCACCGCCACCACCAATACCCCCCCAAAACTGCAAAAAAGGTCTAATGTGAAAAACAGCTTCTGTCTTTTTGTTGTTGTTTTATGTCTGAAATATTAGGATCCGTTCATTCAATAAGCCTTTACTGAATGCCTCAGTATACTAGGTACCCTTCTGGGCATGGAGATGAACTAGACCTGAGCCGTCCAACACAGTAGCCACTAGCCACAGGTGGCTATTTAGAACTTGAATGTGGCTAGTCTACACTGAGACGTGCTGTAAGAGTGAAAGGCACACTGAATTTCAAAGACTGACTTAGTATGAAAAAATAAAACAAAATATCTCAATATTTTTTATATTGAGAAATAAA